TCTACATTATTCTTTAGTGCTGCATAGCATTTCATTATGTGTATGTACCACAGTTTGGTCATCCACTCTTCTGCTATAAATCTTAGAGATAAGTCCCTTGCCAGATATGTAATTATCGGCAAATATGAATTTGTTGCTGTCATTTTTGTTATGTGCTTTTTCATGGTGTCAATTTCTTTGTTCCATAAATTTTCTACGCTGAGCTCATTTTGGTTATGAATCATATTATTACTTCCTTCATTGCTATTGTTTTAGTATTTGCTGAATATGCTGGTCCTCTTTTTTGATGTGAAGGTTTATCATTTTTCATTGTGACTTATAGCTTATAGTTTATAGTTATAGTTATAGTTTATAATTATAGATTTATAGTTTATAGTTAAACTGTGATTTATAGTTTTCTTCCCAAGTTTAGACCGGTCTAAAACTCCCTGATAACTATCTTGTAATTGTCTTGACTTCACTACCATCCAGAAGTTCTATAACAGCACAGTTTTTTCCCTCTTTTTGGTTTGTAGTTGTACTCATTTGTCAATTGATGTCTCTAGTTCCCTGTTTACAATCTTGTAGGTTCATTTACTTTGGATACTTCCATAGCTGGGTTGGTTTCTAGGTTATATCATCTTGTGTGTTAATGGTCAGTTGTTGTTGGCTGTTGTTGCTTCTCTGTCCAAAGGGCTCCCTTTAGCATCTCTCGTAAGGTTGATCTGGTTTTAACAAATTCCCTTAATTTCTGCTTATCTGGAAATGTCCTAATTTCACCATCATATTTGAGGGAAAACTTTGCTGGGTACTTCCGTAGTGATACTGCCTTGGCAACCCATGGAGGGGTGGCTATGAGTCAGAGCTGACTCGACAGCATATAATAACAACAACAACACATAATTCTTGGTTGGAAATTTTTCTCTTTCAGGATTTTATATATACCATCCTGTTGTCTTTTTGCCTGCATGGTTTCTGCTGAGAAATCTGAGCTTAGTCTTACTGGTTACCCCTTATAGGTAATTTTCACTTTTCCCATGCTGCTTTTAGGGTTCTTTCTTTGTCTTTGGTTTTGGTAAGTTTGATGATGATATGTCTTGGTGATTTTCTTTTGGGGTCTATCCTGTTTGGAGTTCATTGGACTTCCTGAACGGAAATATTCTCATCTTTCATCAAAATTCTCTTCCAACAAATCTTCAACAATTTTCTCTGTGGTTTTATTTGTCTCTTCCTGTTCTGGAATTCTGATTACCCATAGGTTATTTCTTTTGATGGTATCCCACGTGAACCTTAGGCTTTCTTCATTTTGTTTTGACCTTTTTTCTGATTTATCCCTTTCCAAAGAAGTGTTCAGGTATTTGCCTTCAATCTCCCTAATTCTGTCTTCCATTGATTCAATTCTGCCACTCTGGTCATTCAATGTCTTATCTATTTCTGAAAATTTAGTATTAATCTTCTGGATTTCTGTGTAGATTTTTTATCATTTCTAATTTTTCATTTATTTTGTCATTTTGTTCTTGTATTATCTTTTGAAATTGTTCTAGGGTTTTCTCTGTGTTTTCCTTGATCTGTGTCTCAATTCGTTGAAGATACCTAAATATAATTCTTTTGAATTCCTTATCAGGGAGTTCCAATGCTGCATCTTCCTCAGAGATGTGTTTTGGGTCTGTATCCTGGTCCCTTGTTTCTTCTGCTATATCTTGCTTCTTTGTGTGGACTGTGATGCTCTGTTGTCTCCAAGGCATTATGCCATCTTTGTGTTTATATTTAATTGGTGATTATATGTTGGAATGACTTGCCCATGATTTTAGTTTTCTTTGTATGTTATCTACACAAGCAGGGTACTGTGCTCCTCTATTCACTAGTCGACAGCACTTATACACTCACTGTCTCCTTTCCTGTTGTCAGCCTCTTGTATGTTCCTGCCCACCTTGGCAAACAGAGCCTATTCTTAGGTCCTGTTTTCATTCAGGTTTTTCCACTAGTTGGTGCCTAATCCACTTCTGTATAGTTCCTTTCAAAGCTCAGGGCTCCAGGATTATCTTCTGTATCTCTGTCAATTGGTTTTTCTTTTCTTTGTTGAAGAGGGTCTGTCACTTGTCTGCCTATTCCTCCATCTTACCTGAAGTCCACTAGTGGTATTTTTGTTGTAGCCACACTAAATAATTAACAGAGGTAATATCAACATCTTAACAATATTATGTCTTTCAGTTCATGAACCTGAAATGTCTTTCCATTATTTAAGTCTTCTTTACTTTCTTTCAGCAGTGTTTTATAGTTTTCAGCATACAAGTCTTCACCTGCCTGGTTAAATTTATCCCCAAGCATTTTATTCTTTTAGATGCTATTTGCAAATGGAATTGTTTTCTTAATTCCCTTTTCAGATTGCACATTGTTGGTGTATAGAAACCCAACTGGCTTTTTGTGTGTTGATCTTGTACCCTGCAATTTTGCTGAATTCATTTATTAGTAGCTTTCTTGTGAAGTCTTTGGGATTTTCTAAATATAAGATCATGTCATCTGAGAACATAGTTTTACTTCTTCCTTCCCGATTTGGATATCCTTTATATCTTTTTCTTGTCTAATTGCTCTGACTAGGACTTGAGCACAATATTGACTAGCATGGTGAGAATGGGCATCCTTGTCTTGCTAACAATTTTAAGGGGAAAGCCTTAATCTTTCTCCACTGAATATGAGGTTAGCTATGGGTTTTTAATGGGGAGCTCTGGTAACGTAGTGCCTAAGGCACTTGACTGCTAACCAGAAGGCTGGAGGTTCAAACCCACCAACCACTCCTTGGAAGGAAGATGGGGCAATCTACTTCCATAGTGATACTGCTACCAGAGCTCCTGCACTATGTGCTAGGGCCACCTATGTTGACAGGTGAAAAGCTTCCCCCAAAATTATTTTTCCGTTGAGGTTAGAAATAATAGCCCACAGCAAAAGGAGACAAAATGCCTTTTTGTCAAAGCCTTGAAGGCAACTTTGCTGTCTATGCTCACGCAGGACGGAACAGCCCCGTGGGGAGTTGAACTGAGTTATCATTGACGGTTACGACTGCCCTTGCCAGGAGCTCTGGTGGCTTAGTGCCTAAGGCATTTGGCTGCTAGCCAGTAGGCTGGTGGTTTAAATCCACCAGCCACTCCTCGGAAGGAAGACTGGGCAATCTACTATCCGTAGTGATACAGCCTCAGAAAACCAACGAGGGGTCACCATGAGTTGGATCCGACTGGAAGGTAGTGAGTTTTACTGCCCTTGCTAAACTCTGAAGAGACTTTGCTTTTAGGAGAGTTGTACCTGTCTGCCAACCTGTCCCTCTTTCGCCTCTGGGAAATGTGGCACTGAACTGAATTCAGGCCAGGAGATACAGACGTAGGTGGTCGTCTGCATAAACTTGAATCTGAGAGTGGATGGAATCACTTACTAAGGAGAGCGTAGAATGTGTGGGACAGAATCCCAGAGAACAGAGAAGTTTAGGGAAATTTCAGAGAGGTAGGGGAGGACAGCGAGTTGCTCAGAGGCAAGAGGAGAGTAGAGGTTTTTACATCTTTCGGAGGAGTGACTGTGGTTTCTCCGCAGGCTCTTGTTACTCAGAGGGCGGTGAACTTCACAAATACAGTTAAGATCCCAAGTCCTAAACGCGCATGGGCTTCATTCAGGGCTTTTAGTGGCCACATACAGGGATGCCCGGCACCGAGCAAGATGCCCTGGCTTCGAGGAGCTCTGTGCGAGGAAATTGGATCTGGAATTGGGGGGGGGGGGGGGGGGGGGAGTGGAATTCATAGAATGCGTCCTGTTGTTGTTGTTGTTGTTATGTGCCATCGAGTCGGCCTCGACTCATAGTGACCCCTTCTTGGGTTTCCGAGGCAGTATCACTACGGAAGTAGGTCCTGGTTGTAGGTTAAGCACGCAGGAACCACGGGCGAAACACCAGCCTCGGAGCAAGTCCCGAGGCAACAGCAGCCTGCAGACTTAGGTTCCCGCCCCACGTTCCCTCTGGGCGCGGCCGCGGGTCGCACCAATCCTGGGATCCTTCCACCGCGGCCGCCTGCCCCCGGCCGTGCCGCTAGCCCCGCCTCCTGCTCTAGCTCTTGTTCCAGCGCGAGGCGGAGGTCAGTGTCATGGAGGGTGGCAGCGGCCAGGCTGGCGGTCTGGGACGTGCCTTATGCGTGCTGACCGGGGCCTCCCGCGGCTTCGGCCGGGCGCTGGCACCACGCTTGGCCCAGCTGCTGTCACCTGACTCCTTGCTGGTCCTAAGCGCCCGCAACAATGAGGCGTTGCGGCAGCTGGAGGCGGAGTTGAACGCCGGGCGGCCTGGCCTGCGGGTGTTGCGGGCGCCCGCCGACCTCAGCACTGAGGCTGGCTTGGAACAGCTGCTCGGTGCCCTACGCGAGCTCCCCAAGGAGGGGCTGCAGCGATTGCTGCTCATTAACAACGCAGGTAAGCACCGGGGACTGTGGTTGGTGGGCCACTTCCCATTTAGAATACTGCTTGGCACCCTGTTTTCCCTACTTCCTCCGAACTTTCATTTTCCCCTCCACTGGGAAATGTGAGGGGTCAGGTAAGGAGTCAAATAAGACGGCTAAAATCCTAAGTGGCGCCCGTTTGGATGGCAAGCAGCGGCGAGGCGTGCTGTAGGAAGATCGAGTGCCTTTGGAGCGCTGCCCTGCCCCTAGTTCCGCCCTCGCTCCATTCCCACTCTCTACTTCCTTCCCCCTCCACCCCCGCAAAGCCAGGTTTTCTAAAGCTTTTGTAGAACTTTCTGGATCGAGCGCCCTCTGGCGAAGGTCTCAGTCAGGGCATGGGGTCTCCAAGTTGAAGAAAATTCCCGAGCATCTCCAGAGCTCTCCCAAGCCCTGGTGCAGGGTAGGCCCCTTCTCAGCCTGCAGAGCTGGGGAAGAAGGAGGTGTCTTCCAAACTGTTACAAGGACTCCACCCTTAGGTCAGGCGGAATTTAAAGAGCTTGATGGGGCGGTGGTTAAGGGCTCGGCTGCTAACCAGAAGGTTGGAGGTTTGAACCCACCAGCTGCTCAGCCTGAGAAAGATGTGGCAGTCAGATTCGGTAAAGATTTACGGTCTTGGAAACCTTGTGGAGTAGTTCTACTCTGCCCCATAGGGTCACTTTGAGTTGGCATGACTTGATGGCAATGGGTTTGGTTTGGGATTTGGGGAAGGAAAAAGCTCCGCCTGGTGCTGGGTGATCCTTAAAGGTTTGGTTTTTCACAGGCACTCTTGGGGATGTGTCCAAAGGCTTTGTGGACCTAGCTGATCCAGCTGAAGTGAACAACTACTGGGCTCTGAACTTGACCTCCACACTCTGCCTGACCACCAGCATCCTGAAGGCCTTTCCGGAGAGTCCTGGTTTCAGCAGGACTGTGGTTAACATCTCATCCATCTGTGCACTGCAGCCTTTCAAGGGCTGGGCACTGTACTGTGCAGGGAAGGCTGCCCGTAACATGATGTTCCAGGTCCTGGCCACAGAGGAACCTAGTGTGAGGGTTCTGAGCTATGCGCCAGGTAGGTAGGCCTTCCTTGCCCCCTAAAACCTGCTGATCCCCTTCTTGGGGCTGGGCAAGGGGCCTGGAATGTCCTCTCCAGGGGAAGATCCATGGAGCTATTATCCCTGAATCATGATCCATCATCCTTTAGGCTCCAAGGTAGTTAGAGCAGGCATGCAGGGAACAGTAGGTAGAGGATGTGCGGAGATGACTGGATCAAAGAGTGGGACAGGGATGTCTGAGGTATTAGATGTCGAGTTTGAGAGAAAACTAGGGCTTAAATTCCAGGCATATATCCCATTTCTCATGTGAAACAGAGAAGGTGCTATTTTAACACTTCTAATTATTAGCTTGTACTTAGCACACTGTATTATATTCATCTGTTTAGCTCTCTGTTTCCTTCACTTGACAGGAAAGCCTTGAAGGCAGGGACCATGCACTACTTATTATATATCATCTGGTCTGAGTTCTAACCACCCCATCATAGTGTAGTGCCTAAAGTTCTTGACTACAAACCAGAAGGCTGTTGGTTCAAACCCATCAGCCACTCCTTGGAAGGAAGGTTGGGCAATCTACTTCTGAGTGGTACTGCCTAGGAAACCCAAGGAGGGGTCACTATGAGTCGGGTCCGACTTGACGGCACACAACAACAATCATGATACCATGGTGCCCCTTGAGGTTCCTGGAGTTAGAAGGTGGTAACGAAGCTGTTGTAGAATATCTTAGTCACTTAGTTAGAGATCTAACAGTCTTTCCCTCTTGAGTTACATATCAGGACCCTGGGGCAGAGGTAGAATGGCTTCCCCAAAGCCCAAGTGTGGCAGAGCCAGGATCAAACCTTGCCTCAAAGCGTTTGATCAGCTGTATCCACTTTCTCATGCTCTCCAGTATCCAGCCCTCTCCTTCCCTAACACAGATACTCATAAGTTATTCTTACAGCCAACATTCACTGAGCACCCCCTCTGAGCCCAGCTTAGGACTCACTCAAACAACAGTGAGCAGAATGAGTGAGAGGCCCCTAGGGCCTGAATGAAGGCCAAGACCAGTCTGGTTTTCATTTCAGTATCGGGAAGAATGTTTAAACAGGTGTGTCCAATGGTGGAATGGGCTATTTGGAAAGCTAGCCAGTCCCCTCTCACCAGAGATGTACCAAACCAAAAAAACCAAACTCATTGCTGACGAGTTGTTTCCAACCATTACCTACCCCTCCTTGGGTTTCCAAGGTGGTATCTCTATGGAAGTAGATTGCCCAATCTTCCTTCTGAGGGATGCACCAGCAACCAAGAAAACCAAACCCACTGCCATGGAGTCAATTCCAACTCACAGTGACCCTACAGGACAGAATAAAACTGCCCCATAGGCTTTCCAAGGCTATAAATTTTTATGAAAGCAAACTTCCTCATCTTTCTCCCACAGAGTCGCTGGTGGGTTCAAACTGCTGACCTTTTGGTTAGTAGCCAAATGCTTTAATCACTGCATCACCAGGGCTCCTTATCAAATACACACATGTGATTAAAAACATTCAAGGATTAAGGGTATTGTTCTCCTTCCAACCCTGAGATTCTTTGATATTCTGCCTCTGAGCATTGCTAACTCTAATTTCTTGTGTGCTGTAATTCCTATATGAAGACTGTTGTTACTGTTGTTAGGTTACCTTGAGTTGGCTCCAACTCACAGCAACCCTACATACAACAGAATGATACACTGCCTTGTCCTCTGCCATCCTCACAATCCTTGCTGTGCTTGAGCCTGTCGTCATAGCCAATGTGTCAGTCCATCTTGTTGAGGGTCTTCCCCTTTCATTGACCCTCCACTTTATTAAGCATGGCATCCCTCTCCAGGAACTGGTCCCTTCTGACAACATGACCAACATACGTGAAACAAAGTCTGACCATTGTCGCTTCTAAAGAGCATTCTAGCTGTCAGTTTATTGTATGTAGTGGCTTGCTTGTTGCTGTGAGGCTGGAAGCTATGCCACCAGTATTTCAAATACCAGCAGGGTTATGCATGGTAGACAGGTTTCAGTGGTGCTTCCAGACTAAGACTGAGAAGAAGGACAAGGCCATCTACTTGTGGAAAAATTGGTCACTGAAAATCTCATGAATAGCAGTGAAACATTGTCTAATGTGAAGAATAGAAAGTGCTTATAACTAAGAGTTCATGAAGGGAGTAGTTGTGGTGACTAGGGATGGCTTTATTGAAGGTATCTGAACTGGACCTTGACTTTGAGGTTGCTTGGATGTCAGCCAGTGGAAGACACTCTAATAAACACAGGTAAACCTGGACAAGCTCATTAGGGGAATGTCAGGTCATCTGGTTTGGCTGGAGGCTGGACATGCACAGCAGGGTACAAATATAAGGACTGTGAATTATAGGCTGGGGTATTGGGGAGCCACTGATAGTTTTTGGACAGAGGAATAGCAGGCATGGTCCCAGAGATGTTTTAGCAAGCTAAATTTGGCAAAGGAGTATGGAAGGAGTTGAAGCAGCGAGAGAGTAGACATGAACAGTGCAAAAAGAGCGTGGGGGTGGCATCTTCTGACCTCATCTAACTAAGGCATACTTAGTATAAGTAATTCACTGCACCACAAGCACCCATCAGAGCTCCTTCACAAGGGCGAAAGAGAAAGGTCAACACCATCAGCCCAGAGCTGATTCCTGTTAAGCAAAAATCAGACATCCCACCACCCTCCAACCTTCATACCAATTCTGACACCAACCATCCCTCCCACAGCATTCACCGCTTGTCTGCTATGTTCAGTAATTCATTGCAATGGCCACACAGAACTCACAGACAGTACTTACCATTATGGAATTTATTAGGGAATTAACAGGTTATAATTCAGGTTCAGGAATGCTCTTTGGATACAAGTCTTCGATCTGGTCAGTCTCCTTTCTGCTATGCCCACAGGCACACCTCTCTTTAACCATTAGCTTGTCAGCCTGGCCTCTGCCCTGGCTCAACCGAGTGTTAAAAGCTCTTTTAGCTCTGCTGATAGGTGCACCCCACACTGTCTCATGCCAATCTCTTGGTTCTACTATTATTGTCTCCATGCAGTCTCTCTACTAACTCTCTGCTATCATCTCAGCACAGAGATCTCGGGTCCAAAGATGTGTTCCATTGTTGCCTTCTCTGTCTTGATGGTAGTGTGATCCCCCTTTTCCACCTCTCAGATGGCTCATTTTAAACCTAGCAAAAGGACATAACTGACCAATCCCCACTTTAGGGTTCCATACACCTTATTTCCATGGTCCCACCCCCACAAGGGTTGCAGACACCTTATTTACATTACCAACAAGCTATCCAATCCCCTTAATAAACCACAAGTACCTTACATTTGCATAGATGGGGCAATCGGAAACCCAAGGAGGGGTCCCTATGAGTTGGGTCCAACTCGACGGCACATAACAACAACCACCACTCAGTCATTCAGTGGACACCACAAAGACCATGGCTGGAAGAGCCATGCTAAGTAATTCACTGCACCACAAACACCCATCAGAGCTCCTTTCCACTTGTACCACTTTCTTTTTTTTTTTTCTCAAAAAATAAAAAGCTTTTTCAATAAACCTGGGCTGTTAAAAAGGATGGGAATGACTGTCAAGGTATGTAGATGTAGATCTTCCTCCCTGGGGACTGACTGACTGCAGGGACAGAAGGTGAAGGAGGGAGCAAGTGATGGGTGTTTTGAAGCTGGAAGAAAAGTACCTCATAAATAGAAAAATTAGGAAGAGGTGCTGATTTGACAAGAGATGATTGACTTAGTTTTAGTCCTGGTGGTTTGGGGAAGCATGTTCAGTAGGCATTGGAATTGCATGCCAAAGTGAAGCCCTTGGCAACCCTGACCATGCATGTCAGCCAAAGTTAGTTACTGTCTGTCCAGATCTTACGCAGCCTCTTGCCCCTTCCTTGACCCTGTGGCAGGGGCCTGTATCCCTCTGTCCCTTCCTTGGCTCTGCCCTGTCCCCTCATCTTCTACTTTTTGCCGCCTAGGTCCCCTGGACACAGACATGCAACAGTTGGCCCGAGAGACCTCCGTTGACCCAGAGTTACGAAAAAGTCTGCAAGCACTGAAGACAAAGGGGCAGCTGGTAGACTGTGGAGTGTCCGCCCAGAAACTGCTCAGCTTGCTACAAAAGGACACATTTAAGTCTGGAGCCCATGTTGACTTCTATGACATATAAGCCCCTGTCCTTGACTCCCTAGACCTTCCTGCCCCGTTTGTAGGCACACCCCAGAAACCCCATGGCTCCCCACATCCTCCTACCTCAGTGGTATCACCAGCCCTGCATTACACAAATAGGCACTCGTACTTGCTGTCCTGCCTTCAGACACAGCCGTATGGGCTTCGGCTTACTGAGCTTGCTTGTTCCCAGGAGTCTGGTCTGTGCATATCCCTAGATTATGAGGAGACTTCTGTAGGAAGCTTGAGAGAGAGAAGTTACAGGTGTTGGTGTCCTCCCTCCACAGGAATCAACTTTTAGCCACAGAAAAGGCAGGAAAAAAAGCTGAAACATGGAAGAGATTGGGTGTCCTCCTGGCCAGTCCAAGGTCAGAGGAGAGGGTGATCTAGGGTCAGAGGGCCAGTACCAATTCACCTGTGGTCTGGAGGGGAGTGGGATACCACAAGTACCTGCCATGCAGATATCTCTTGCTCAGGCTAGCAGGGCCTTCTGTTGAACTACATGTCTTGTCCAGATGCCTCCTTCCTCCAGAACCTACCGTTCCGCTCCACCCAGGCTGGGAGAGGGAGTGCCTCTCAGAGTTTCTATGTACATTCCAAAGGCAGATACAAATAAAATATTGAATGTTCTTTGCTGTAAATTATTAATGCCTGCTTTCTCATCTGACGTAAGGCCTAACCAGCAACTGATTTCCTGGATCGCAGGGTCCAGGGATGTTCTTGAGGCAATTAAGCCAAACCTAGGGTGCTATTCAGGAGCTCTGGTAGCATAGTGCCTAAGGCACTTGACTACTAACCGGAAGGCTGGTGGTTCAAACCCACCAGCCACTCCTGGGAAGGAAGGTAGGGCAATCTACTTCCGTAGTGATGCACATAACAACAACAACAGGGTGCTAGTCTCACTTCCTGAGTAGTTGTCCTGAGGCTGTCTGCCTCCACCGCTCACTGAGCCCCACCCATTGGCAAATTCAAATTCAAACAAACCAAATTCACTGCTGTCAAGCCTATCCTGACTCAGTGACCCCTCCTTGGGTTTCTGAGGCGGTATCTCTATGAAGTAGATTGCCTGATCTTCCCAGCAGTGGCTGGTGGATTTGAACCACCAGCCTTCTGGTTAGCAGTCAAATGCCTTAGGCGCTATGCCACCCGAGCTCCCAAACAAAGTTGGCTAAAGTGGATATGCCCAGACTCCTGTACCCCCTTTAAGCTTTTGTCCTAATTGGTAAGTTTTTACTGTACATTCCTCACCCTTGGGCAATTCAGACTACCATACCTACCCTTCAGGGTCCTCTTGTGGTCCTCGCTTTTGTGTATGGTTCTTTTCTCTGGTTACCTCCTTTCCACTCCCTCAGATTCCTACCCCTTACCCACTATGGCAATTCTCTGAATGGAATCCAGCTCTTTGGGAGCCTGTCATGAGTCCTGGAAATGTCTCCCTGGCTTGTGGTTCTGATCCTCAGCATAGAATCAGCTTGCCTTTTGGGGAAGTAGACAAGTTTACAAGATAGAAGACCTGAGAAACCAGAGGTGTGACTGAGCCAGTCCTGCAAGTGCATAGCTGTGGGCAGCCTGGGAGTTCCCCACTGGTGGCAGTCTGCAGCCAGCCAGCTCCTAGTTCCTGGCCCAAAGTTTTCTAACTCCAGGCAGTGGGCCTGCAACTGCTTGTGCAGGAGGGAGCCTGTAATTGTTCCTTGTGCACAGCAGAGGGCGTGCGGAGGCCGTGCCTACTATAGAACTGGTGGCAGCTATGATTGTTGGAGGGCAGGCCTTACACAAGCAAGGAGCTGGCAGTGTCCTATGTGGTCTCTGAGGAGTGAATAAGCAACTCACGCTCTCAGCTCATCTCGGTCCGCAGAACCCACCCCTCACTGAGGTCATACTTCTGGGCTCCAGTTCCTGCTCTGCTATTTACCAGCTGGTGACAGTGCCTAAGGCCCTTGACTGCTAACCAGAAGGCTGGCGGTTCAAACCCACCAGCCACTCCTCGGAAGGAAGATGGGGTAATCTACTTCTGTAGTGATACTGCCTCGGAAACCCAAGGAGGGGTCGCTATGAGTCGGGGCCGACTTGACGGTAAATAACAACAACAACAACCCAGGGCAAGTTGCTTCTTTTTCTTTTTTGTGCCTCAGTTTTGTGTTTTAATTATCTGATAAATATGGATTATAATGGCACCTACCTCAAAAGGTCATTGTGAATATTAAAATGACAATGTTTATAAACAGTGCAGTGCCTAGGGTTGCAGTAAGTACCCCATAAATGCTAATTTTGTGTGTTGCCTTTTAATATCCAGATCATCTTGGAGCCCCAGTTGCCCCCTCACCTCCATGACGCCCAGATGCGTTCCCCTCTGCTGACTTGCAGTAAGAACTCTAGCTGTGCTGCTGCTGCCATTGTGCTGGGCCTTGTAGGCCTGGGGTTCAGTCTGGTCAGCTTGCCCTGTGCTCACTAGACTGGGGCAAATGCATGAGCCTTGGAGTCACGAGTGCTCAGTCCATTCTCCTCTCTGTGACAAATGTTGCGGGAACTCAGGCAGGGTTCCCACCCTCTTTGGGCCCTGATATTCTTAGAACAAATGAGCATTGATTCCTTCCTGCAAACTTTCCTCTAAGGTGCTTTAAATATCATGCTGCATCTGATGGCATCGGGTTCAACCTCTGCAGGTGGGTGTGGGTCAGCCTGGACTGTCCCTTTCTGTTGTAGTGGGTGTTGGCTGGATCACTCATGGGAATGTGAGAGCAGCTAGGTCTGCCCAACCACCATTGCTCCCTCAGGATCAACTCTCCCCTCTCCCTTAGCCCAGGACTTACTGAAGAGTACCACATGTGCCCACAAGGTGGCGAGGCCCTCCCACACCTGATACTTTATAGAGGGTGGGGGTGGAGAATGGGTTAAAAAAAAAAAACTGCCATCTAGTCAATTCTGACTCATAGCAACCCTATAGGACAGAGTAGAACTGCTTCATAGGGTTTCCTAGGCTGTAAATCTTTATGGAAGCAGACTGCCTCATCTTTCTCCCTCAGAGAGGCTGGTGTGTTCAAAGTGATGAACTTCTGCTTAGTAGCTGAATGCTTTAACCGTTATGCCACCAGACCTCCTTCAACCAACCAAAACCAAACTCAATGCTGTGGAGTCAAATCTTGACAGAATCAGGTTAGGGATTGGGTTTAGTCTGAGGTCAGAAACCCCTCCTTGGGTTTCTGATTGCCCAATCTTCCTTCCAAGGAGTGGCTGGAGGGTTTGAACCTCCAGCCTTCTGGTTAGCAATCAAATGCCTTAGGCACTAGGCTACCAGAGAATGTTGGAAATGCTTCCTAGGCCTGTCTCTCTTCCTGCAGTCCAGGATTCCAAACTCTCCAGGGATCTAGGGAGGGCAGAGAGGGGCTAAGATCACTCTCCCTGGCAGGTCCCAAGGCCTCCTCAGTGACCCATGGACTCTGTCCACAGAGATTTCCCAGGTTTCACACAGCCTACAGGACTCTTCCCAGGCCGACTCAGCCTCCCCAGCCCTCCCACCTCTGCTGCAGGGAGGCTTGTGTGTCAGCCTCCAAGGCTAACCATTTGTGTTCCCCAAATGTGTGGCCTGGCCTTGGCTACTACATACATGAGCACATGCAAGCACACACACATATACATGTCTGCACATGCCCAGAACCCAGCTGCCAGGGTAAACAGGGCCACAGATTCACTAAAAGACAATCAAGGTCTCTCTTTGTCTTTGGTGTGTTTGAGATGGGCAGTTTTTTGGTTTTGGCTTGTGGGCTAAGCTGGGGCCAGCAGCTGGCCTGTGAGGAGCAGGAGGGGAATGTCCAGGCCCGCCCTGGGGACCTCTTGATTCACTGTGAGCTTTTGAGGTTAGTTGGGGGAGGGGTTGAAAGGTGGGAATGCTATGTAGAAGACTGAGACAGCCATTCTTGCTCTCCCTCCCCAATCTGGGATATTCTACCTGTAGTGCTGAAGGCAGGGAGGAGCACCCGCCTCCCCATTCTCACCCCTGAATTACTGTCAGTTCCAGAAAGATCCCCCAACACACATATCTCACCCTTTGTCTCTGTTTTCACCCTAGAAAATGGCATCCCATGTGCTCCCTACTCAGTGCTAACTGAGCTTGGCATCATCTAGAAGAACCCTGAACTTCTGTTCTTGGTGTAGGGTTAGGGAGAATGAGGGAGGAAGGGAGAAGGAAATTCTTTTCTTCCTTTGGGGCTCTCATGCCCCCCAGTTTCTCAGCTAACTAACCTAAAAGCTATCTAGTAGTCTCTTAGTCTACTACCATTCCACTTCCCCCACTCCCCAATGCCAGATCAGGGAAAGAGAAGGTCCCACTCCCTGTCAGACCTCTTGTCTCTTCTTGTAGATGCAGGAATCTGTTTAGCCCATACTCAGATTCAGGCCTTGGTTCAATGGCTACCGAGGCCTTTCCTAGGGCTGGATCCCTGCTCTTTCTGAGCCCTAGTTTGAACCCAAGGATCTAGGGGCTCAGTCTCAAGGGGATGTGGTTGTCCCACAGCCCTTACGCAGAGCCCAACACGTAGAGGCACTGATAAGTATTTGATGTATGATGAATGAATGAATAAGTGAGTGAACACTTTCAGACCACTGTCAGGGATATATTGAAGCCTGTGAAAGGGTGTGGGTGTGATGAGTGGTGGCTGGGAGGCAGGCCTCTGCAGATAAGGCCCGGCTCTATGGGCCTCCAGCTGGCCCAGCCGTCCCTATTGTGGGAATCCCCAGAGGAAAGCCTGCATGTGTTTATTGTGGAAGTGGCTGAATGGCTGGGACTGGGATGTGTCAGAATCACCTGCAGAGCTTTAGAAAGAAAAAAAAAAAAAAAAAGTCACTTTCTTGTTGTTCCTCCTTCACCCAGACTCTAATTCAGTGGATCCAGGTATATATGCCCACTTGTATTAGAACATTAAAACGTGGGCTATGAACCCTGGAAGTCCAAGTGATATTGGCAAAAATCAAAACAGGTATCTCCTCAAAGAAGGGGAATTTCAG